TCTTTGAATATTTGATTAATTAATAATTTCGAATTTAATTTTAACTAATATGTTGTTCTGTGTAAAATTTGCAATTGTGTCGAGGCAGATGAAAGGATTTTGTACGAAATTTCTTTGAATATTTGATTAATTAATGTTTTCAATTTTGACTAACAAATTCTTTCAATTATCGGCAAAAGATCAAAAATAACACTGAAATAAAATGGTCCACGGCCTGGAAAGACCAAATGCGAAAGAAGGACGCGAAAACGACGAGAGAAAGTCTTAGAAGTTCTTGGAAGAAAGAACGGAGCAATGACGCAATTACAGCCACGCGTGTTTTAGAAAACCCTGCAATTATCAATCGAGCGTCGAATCATACCTAAAGAAAAAGCCTTGCCAGAGAATAAGAATTACTTGAATCCATCCGGAAAAAATATTACATCGAAATTGCGCATCGTGCGTCACATCGTAGAAATCTCGAACGTGGCGAATCGCGCGCTAAAGAGGCAAAGAGGAAACAAAGATAGAGGAATGGAATACCGAGAAAACCTCTAACGAAAAAACAAATCTCGAACGACGAGGCTGAAGCTGGCATAACTGTACATTTAATAGAATGTCTCAACAATCCCGTGACCGTTTCGTTTCCCACACGGGGAACGTTCCGCTCGTTTTACTGGCCGGTGCCGCGACAATTCGACCGAACGTCTAATTGACGGTCTAACGTCTCTTCGCGTTACGAAACTTGGCCAGAAAGCGGACGAAAAAGGCCCTTTCTCTTCTCGACTCCTCTTTCCTCTTCCGTGGACACAGCTGAACGCGCTGCCGCTCTCCGCCCTCACGCGTCGTCGTCTTCTTTTCTTAAGAGAGGAAAGCGCGGGCTTGCCCGAGCACGGTTAACGTCAATAACCGTTGCATTAGCTGACGGTTCGCTTCTTTCTTTACCGTCGCGGCCGACTGCCCGCTGCCCCATCTAGCAGCGATTAAAAATGGTTAAAGCATGATCCGCGACATCGAACGATCTGGACCACCGGCGTCGATCGTACACGACATTGTACACGTACGTGCGCGCGTGTACGTGTGCGAGTTTGCGAGCCACCCTACACGATCTACACGACTCTGTGGTGTCGTGGCGTCATACGCCTGGTGATTTGCTCGCCGGAGCAAAAGATGTTCCCAGTGGCTGCACCGTCGCCTGCATCCTCTTTGTACACTTTGTTCACACCGTGAAGGCGAGAGGCCTTCCGACCGGACTCGTTCTAAGGTAGAACATGTTCCGTCAGCCGGGTGGGCGTCCATCAACATACGATAAATCCTGCCTAACGGCGGTTCTCGTCGTCGTTGGCGCCCTGTCGTTGCTCTCTTTTTGCCCGTTAGACCTCGCCGTCCACCACGGAGAACCACCTCCGAGGTAAAAAAAAAAAAAAATACCGTTGGCCAAGCTACTAGCCAAGGAAAGAGAGAGAGAGAGAGAGAGAGAGAGAGACTGAAGGGGGGAGGAAGGGAGCGAGGGAGCGAAATTTTCGAGGACGACGGCGCTATCGATACGACAACGCAGCAACACCATCAACCGCTGACGTCGCGGTGACATTTAAGAGCGACTCGACTGTCGAGTTTCTGAAAATAATTTTTCAGCCTTCCAGCCACTGATCTGCGGGGGAGGGGGGAGAAGAGGCGAGAAGGTTCGATCGAGCGGACTACCTTCGGAACTCTGAAGGCTCTTTTTAGTTCTTTTGCAGGTTATTTCGCAAATTATTAAAGACTCGGGTTTCTTTATGAATTCGTGAGATTGCTCCCTCGATATGCGCGTTAGTGGAAAATAATCTTTCTTTCGACATACTCTCTCTCTCTCTCTCTTTGGAAGTATCGTTTGAAAAATCTTCGACTCATTTATATTTAAACAAGTATTTCACGGGCGTGAAAGTTTCTAGTAGAGTTTCGTCGAGAAATTTGATTTCAAGGATGCCTCGAGATTGCATTTTCTTCGCCTTATTACTCAAACCGTCGTTCGAATCGCCGAGAGACGAAGGGAACTGTGTGTGAGTGTTGGAAGGGGGCGATGAGAGGTTGCAACATCAAGAAAGCTCCACGTGCAACCGATGATGCAACGATCAACCGTGCATTTTGTAACATTAGATTTGAAAGGCCTTGCCTTCTGGCAACGCACTGGCCCAGATAGAGATGGTTTCGACTTTGTTAACCCTCGGCATACCAACGTGGAGTCACTCAGAAATTCTAATGCGATTCATCCACGTGATAATAACATGAGATTTGTGACATTTATTAATTGAGGTTTCCTTTTTTAAGCGAATATATTATGTTATCAAACGCAGAAGATAGAAAATTTATTACCAACAAAGTTGACGTTTTCTCGCGCGCGTGTTTAATTTAAATTTTTTAGTCAACTATGCTAAAAGATGAAGAAATTAACGAATCAGACTTACCATCGGGAGTGGAGACAGTACCAGCCTTGTTAAGTTTCGTATTCCACATAGCGGGTGTGGTGGGTGCAGGACTGAGATCAGGAGTTGGAGGATGAGCGGGTGGCAGGGGCATTATGGCATGGCCAACTTGCGCTCCGTGTTGAATGTGATTCGAGTTTGAGCCGTAATGGCCACCATCGAACCCCCTTCCACTGGAATAAACTTCGCCCGACAATCTTTCTGCCAATTTATCTGCCCTTTCCCGATCGGTCATCGCCACTGGTTCTTGCTTTATTCGAAGATCTACGACAAAAGAGGATAATCAATTTGTTGAAAATTTGCGTAGAAGATCACGTTGTGACAAAATAACTTTTCAATACTTCAACGCTCTTTTCGACTTTCATTTTGTATTTACAACAACGATTGAAAGAGAAATGTTACGGGCATGTGAAACTAGATAGAGGAAGATGAATTATTCGAAAAATGGCTGACCTTCGGCTACACTTTCCTTGAGATCGCAATTGCTACGTTCCTCGGACCTCGCTCGTTCTAATTCCTGTTCCAATTCTGTCGGTGTGTGCGGTGCGGTGTGAGGATGTGCAGGCGTTTCTGAAGGGTAGATGAACGGCTGGTAGAAGTGGTTCTCCAGAAGCGGATGTGGCGCTGATGCGGGCCGGAAGGCAGTGCCATCGCGCAACACGCTCGCCCTTCCCAAAGTATCGACGTCGCTGGGCGATCTAAAAATATCCCCGAAAAAAACGTTCGATATCGTACAACTATTGACCATCTCGCAAAAGGTTAAACAGTACACAATTATTTAATTAATTTGATTAGTTTATTTAATTTTATTGGTTGATTGGTTTATTTAATTTGATGAAATCAAGTTATTTCAAATTTTAAACTTATTGTGTTATTAAAATATTATTTAATAATATTTTCATTTCTTTTAAATGAATTATTAAATTATTATATCAAATTATTTACAAATTTATTATATTTATTCTAAATTTTATTTAACGAAAAATTTATTTGATGAAATCAAATTTCAATCTTTCGACGATTATTCCCCCATTTCACACGTGTCAGATATTTCAGAAGTTTCGTCTCCACATTTCTCAACCTGCCTTCCAACATTAACAAGTACATCCGTACGTTCTTCGACGCAACGACTGTCCATTGGATTTCATCAAAAAATAAACGTCACGCGGCACGGCGATTAACCGATATTGCCGTCGTTAGAGAGGATGGGAAGGTCGTGGCCCGTTTGGAAATTTCATGAGCGCGCGAGTCCTTCGCGGTGCGGTAAAAGGGCTTACCTCATCAGCATTTTCGGCGGGCTTTCGTAATAGTGAGGGTTGAGACTGGGCACGGTGTAGGCAGCGGCGGGCGACGGTGCCGGTGTGGGGGTTCTCTTCATGATGTCGCCCACGTCGCTCACCTCGCCGATACCGCCACCAACGACACCGCCGGCATTACCGGCTGCGTTACCGCTACCATCGACGTTTCCGCTCGCACTCCCGATTCCGGTGTCACCGTTATCGCTGCTACCAACGCCATTGCTACTACCACCGGCAGCACCCCCGACGTCCGTCGACGAGTTATTGTTCTCCGTAGCGTGCCTCTGCGCTACCGCCAGCTTCTCGTGCTCGATGGACAGACCCTTTACCTGTAAATCCAAAGAGACCATCTCACGATCTAGACCAAAAATCGTCAAAGATCAATAAAGAGTTAAAAATGCTCCGGCGAGGGGGAAAAGAAAACTCTGCCACGCCGACGTTCGAGAACAGGAATTCCTGGCCATTAATCGCGGCCAAAAATAAAAGAAAAAAAAAAGATGTTCCCCCGAAGGTATGCAAGTGTGACAACGCGTGACTGCTATTCGGGGCAATTATTTCAAAAGAGACGAAATAAATCGCATACTTGAAGGCATTCGGCTGCTTTGAGGAAAGAGCTCAGGGATTCCTGGGACACGTGTACCTCTCCACGGTACATGAATTCGAGAAGGGACGCCATATTGTGGGCACTCGTTCCGTCGAGAATAACGATCAGACCGGCGGGTGAGGCGGGCATTCCTTCGAAGAGCTCTTGAAAGTGCTTGCTACATGCCGCGAGGATTAACCTGTGCGCCTTGAACGTTACTCCTGAAACATACGCAACAATACAAGTTCGTTAGAAACAACTTTCTTCCAAGTGTCTCAAACTGTCGAGCAACCGGCGTGCTTCGAAGATTTCGCGCGAGCTACCTCGAAAATTTACAGTTTGTCCCTTCTGGAAAGCTCTTACGTGGGAAATTATTATAATACCACGGTGTATTCTTCGGTTGATGGACTTTCTAAATATTCATATCGTTCCTCTCTCCGAGTTTCTAATCTACGTCACCCTCGCACGATTCCTAAATTCTAATTATCCGTTAAGCTGGATCCCACTGGTCGATCAAGATGATATAATACCACGCGAGCAACAAAAGCCGATCGACTTGCACGGTCTTGAATTACCCGCGTTTTCCAAGAACTGTCCGACTTTCGTTAGGCAGCGTGCGCCTACTCTGTACCATCTTTTTTTTTTTCTCACGGCTTTCACGATACAACCGTAGGACCGCGGGAATATTGGCGTGCAAAGGAAGTGGTGACTGTCGAACCCCTTTTTTTCTTCTTCTTCTTCTTCTTCTTCTTCTTCTTCCCACTCTCCATTTCCCTCCGCGACCGAGCATAAAGGAGCCGTGGAGGCAGCGCCAGCTTGACGCCGATGCCCTTTCTTGCAGCCCGTTGGTTATGTAGGTCATCCTCGGACACGATCTTCCGTAATTTACAATTCACGTGCGCAAGTGTAACGTGCGCGTAATACGATATCGGCGCGCGTTCAACAAATATGGCGCCGCCGTAGGTTCTAACGACAAATCTAACGTGAGGAACATATCTTTTGTCCTGCAGATCGGCGTCGGTTTTCGGTCAGATAGGGTAACGCTCCATCTTGAATTTAGAAAAGGGGATTGGGAATGTTAAAGTTTTACGGTGTCGTGGCTGTTGAAGTTGTTTTGAAAAATTCGTTTTAAGCACAGTTCTTGTTAATACGACGTTTCAATTATTTTTTTTTTGCAATGGAAGGAAAAATAATGCAATGGAAGGAAAAATAAAATTCGCACACGACGTAAGAAACGGAATCAACAGTGTGTCTGCTATTATCAGAACGTGTAGAACTCTGTTTCTGTTTTTTTGGTCATCGCGAGAGTCTTATCAAGGGGGTGGTTAAGCACGAACCGAGAAAGACGAGAGGAGACGCGATAACACGATATCCTAGGATCAAGGAAATCAAGAAGGGAAAGAAGACACGCGAGAATGGCCGGCCAGGTGGTCGAAACCACCTGCCTTTCGGAATGGCTCGCCTAACTAAAGAGTATCGAGTTCTCCTAGGCTCCTTGATATTCATTGTAAAAAGAAAAAAAAGGAACAAATTTCGAACCCGTACGGGAACCATTTTTTAGACTCTATGTTTATGCAAATGACTCTGAAATTATTAAATTCGACTTGATTCAAGCTTTTTTTTTTTTTTTTTTTTGTTTTTATAGTATGCTTTCATTTTCATCCTGAGTGATTCGACAAACAACGTTAATAAGTAATCAATTGTTTAAAAAAAACGTCGTTGAATATCAAACGTGCAAATACAATTGCAGAAAATAGTATAGTCGACAAACACAATGGATTCGAATATTTGCAACTTACCAAATGTAGCAAGCTGCGTATCGTTACAGGTATCTGATTGTGAGCCAAATATACATCCTATTGCTAGATGTGTAATGTGCAAAGGCCAACGACCGAGTCGCGTGTACGTGTGTGGGCGTTTTGCGGAGCATGTTCGTGGCTTATGCTTATGCCAACGTTCTCCTCATAACCAGGACCCGGAAACATATGCCCGGCGTTCTCGCATCCTTTGTGCCGGATCGACGCAGCAAAAATAAGACGCGGATGTGTTTCAGCTTGAAAACGATTCTATGATCTACGAACGTACTCCATTTCATTGTACATATTTTCTAAGATTTCTAAGAAGTTTTCCTCAGAAAAAAAAATGGAATAGAAACGTGGTAGATTACGAATTTCTATGCATTTACGGAAAGTTTGTAGGTGCAAAAATGAATACAGTATGCAAAATATCCAAAGAAGAATATTAATTATAAATTCTGTATAAAAGAAGCAATTTTCTACTTAGATTTCTATTTTGTTAGTGAACATTTAAAAATGTAAATGCGTAAAAATCTGCGATCTAGTGATTAGGTTGAACGAAGAGGACTCCAATCGATTTGAAAACGTATTGCTATCAATGTGTTTCTCGTACCATGTAAAAATTAAAGAACTCGTTTACACTCTTACTTTCTTTCGAATTCATCTTGCTCGAATAATGCACAAAAGACTGTTTCTCTTTCATCCAACGAAAGCTAACGCCTCTGGTAACACGTCGTCGTGAAACGTCGGTGACTCACACGCCACGGTATGAATAACTTTGGCGCTCAATGAAGGCGCACAATCTTTTTTTTCAAAATCGTAACGCAACTGAATGAACCGATAAACAGATGATACGCGAGCGTCGTTTTGTGCCGTTTGTACACAGCTATCGCAATTATCGACTATTTACTGCAAAAATTTGTAATCTCCACTGTTAACAACCTGTCTCGAGTTACGCGATAGCAATATCAGATAATCGAAATCTCTCTCGAGCTTTTTGAATCAAGATTCTCAACGCTTTGCCTCCTGCAAAATTGAATATTCATCGTAATTCGATCGGATTATCATTGAAAATTAGATTTCGTCATTGCAACGCTCGTCTATATATTTCCGAGTGAATAAAACTCTCAAACTCTGTTTCTCTGTTGCGACACGAAGATCGAAACTCATCGAACAGCGAGCCGAATGAACATCGCTGTTCACGATGGGCAAACAGTCAGTGGAAGGATCCGTTCAAACGAAGTCCATTAGCCTAAGAACGAGATATTAATTCGCTAGGTTCACAGGCCTGGAGAAGAAAAACTTGCAAATAACACGCGCTCGGTTACGCAACGGAGCAATGCACTCTTCACGGGCTAAAGATCTATTCGTGCTTCAAGGCCAGCTGCTGACGAGTTTTATGAGCTAGGGATTTCAGTTTTTTCTAGCATGATCGTCGTTTCGCTCGGCCTTAATTCTAATACTCCGTGCACGTCTAACACGTACTATACGTACGGAGAACCCGGAAGCGGCATAAATACCCGATGTCCTCGTTCCTGTTTCATTGAAAAATGACACTGATTTTTATCGAATCTTCCATTCACGTTCCGCGATAGAATCTTGCGGTTCAAACACAACGTGGATTCACGATTCGTTTCAAACAAGTGCCTTTTACAGCAACGATAGCAATCTGGAACGGTATGCGAGGTTTGAAAAACGAATAAAATTATGGCGAAGATCAACCGATATCGCGTGATGATACAGAGTTTACGGTTCGTACGGGAGTCATAAATCAAGCGAAAGTTACTTATTATTCTCGTCGCGATAAAAATAGAAAAACATGTACACGATAACTCTAATTTTTAATTTGAAATTTCAGCTACTCAAAAATGGAGCTAGCTCAATTTTTTAATGTGCTAATGTAGTATCGGTTATTACAATTAGTCTGTAGCTGTAATTTTTAATTATGTCCAAATATAACAGATGGCCTGTTTGTCGTAGGCATGGAGCGTTTTTCTTCTTAAAACACATTGCGTACCGCACTCGGCACGCCTAACCAGCACCCAGGGCCCGCACATTTTTGGAGTAACAGGGAAACTAACTTTGTACAATGCATATATGCACATCTTTAATTCACATTGATAAAATATTCTTAAATATTACTACATATTTTTTTATAGTAATATTTAAGAATCTATTTATTATGTATTTTAGATTTTAACTATTATTTATTTTATATTCATATTAATACATTGAGAACAATATGCCCTGATATCAAACATATAGTCTGTATTTTTTCGTATTTCTTCAATTATTTAACATATGATTGAAAGGATTCAAGAGAATGTATAGCATTTAACAAGTGTATTATTTTATTAATAATTAAAATTATTAATTTTTTTCATTTTAGAGGTATTTTTACTAAATATTATTATATGTCTTTTATAGTAATATTTAAGAATCTATTTATTATGTATTTCAGATTTAAACTATTATTTATTTTATATTTACATTAACACATTGAAAACGGTATGTTCTGATCAAACATATAGCCTGTATTTTCTCGTATTTTTTGAATTATTTAATACATGATTGAAAGAGTTCAAGAGAGAATGTATAGCATTTAACAAGTGTATTATTTTATTAATAATTAAAATTATTAATTATTTTTCATTTTAGAAGTATTCTATTAAATAAAATGGAAATACCTCTAGTAACGTTTCTTGGTGTGGTATGTCAGGAAACAATTTCCTCACTGCTTGAAAAATTATATAACATTATAATATGTAATTATATATTATATATAATATTATGTAATATAAATTACATATAACGTTGTCGTGTCCCCTACAACGCAAAAAAGCGTTCTCCGTCCGCAATGTTGAAACACGAAGAATTCTCGTCACCCGTCCACATTAGTTGACAAAACTGAAAGACGCGAATTCGCGTCTCCTGTCCACAATGTGTTAAAAAAGACAGAGTCAGGCGAGTTGAAAAACCGAGTCGTGAGAGTCGTGAGAGAGCGTTGAGAAAGAATTGTTAAAAGTGTCTGTTGTTGAAACAGTTTATCTGAGTTTGTTTGAATGTTATTTGACTTGTTTAATTATTTGTTCCATCATCATTACTTTTTATTAAATAAACGTTATTTATATTATATCACTACACTAATAAATAATATTAACCTCGCATCAGCTTGATTTCGATTCACAAAACAAAATCTACCAATATCCAAAAACCAAAGAGATTTCTTTACCACGGTGCACGTTACTCAGCTTTTCTCATCGGCGTGTACATATGTACATATGTACACGTGCACGCATACACGAGCGTTTCATAGCCACGCTGTTTCATAGCCCGCTGTTGGAAGACGCGCGAAAAGATAAGGAGGTTGATTCGCTGGGAACGCGACAGGCTGTTTGTTGTATTGTACGGTGACAAAGAAAGGT